GTAGCAAGTAAACAAATTAACCAAGATGGCTGCGGCCACGGAGCGAGCAGGAGGCTTAGGTTTCCCCAGCAATGGAGGAAGCCAAACTTCCTGGCCGGCCCTGGCCTCTGCTCAAGGCTACAAAGTTGGGGGAGAGAAAAAAAAAAAGAAAGAAAGAAAGAAAAAAAAGGCTACAAAGTTACAATTATAGAAGATAAATAAATTCCAGATACAGGGCCTCCGCTAGGGTCACCGGGGGGCATGGCCAGCCTGCAAACCATCACAGGCCCCTCACCCAGGCTGCCCATGCCCCAAGGTAACTCCAACCCTGATCCAGGACACCCTTCAGGGAAGACCAGCTGGCTCCCACCCATGCACCAGGCCTCTCTCTATCCATCTAATAAAAGAGTAATATGCAAACTGACAGTCACTCAAACAAATAAGATGGCTGCCCCCATGAGGACACAAGATGGCCTCCACAAGATGGAAGCAGGAGAGGGCAGTTGGGAGGGACCAGGCCTGCAAGAGAGGGCAGTTGGGGGTGATCAGGCCAGCAGGAGAAGGTAGTTGGGAGGGACCAGGCCTGCAAGGGAGGGCAGTTAGGGGTGATCAAGCCTGCAGGGGAGGGCAGTTAGGGGTGACCGGGCCAGCAGATAAGGGAAGTTGGGGGCTACCAGGCCTGCAGGGAAGGGCAGTTGGGCGGACACAGGCCTGCAGGGGAGGGAAGTTAGGGGTGACCAGGCCTGCAGGGGAGGGCAGTTAGTGGCAATCAGGCTGGCAGGGGAATGGTTAGGGGATGATCAGGCTGACAGGCAGGAGCAGTTAAGGGCCATCAGGAAAGCAGGCAGGTGAGCAGTTGGGAGCCAGCAGCCTTGGATTGTGAGAGGGATGTCCGACTGCCTACCAGGATCGAGCCTAAACAGGCAGTCAGAGATCCCTCAAGTGGTTCCAGATTGGAGAGGGTGAAGGCTAGGCCGAGGGACACCTCTGTGCATGAATTTCATGCACTGGGCCTCTAGTACACTATTAAAAGACAGTAGATAGAGTGTCGGCCTGCGGACTGAAAGGTCCCGGGTTCGATTCCAGTCAAGGGCATGTACCTTGGTTGCAGGCACATCCCCAGTAGGGGGCGTGCAAGAGGCAGCTGATCAATGACTCTCTCTCATTGATGTTTCTAACTCTCTATTCTTCTCCCCTTCTCTCTATAAAAAATCAATAAAATATATTTTTAAAAAATACACATTCAGCCGAAACCGGTTTGGCTCAGTGGTAGAGCAAACCAAATGGAGACTTTCCATGAAGAAATGGAATCAATAAAAAATAATCAAATGACAATCTAGAACTGGAGAATAGAGTAGCTTAAATTAAGAACCAAATGGAATGTTTAAAAAAAAATCAGAAAACTGAAGAAAAGATAACTACATTATCGGACTCGACTCACGTCGTTTCGTGGTTAAGTTGCCATCTCCCATTTACAGTATTTAAAAAAAAGTTCCATCATTTCGAAGTATGTACACATGTGCTTTATGTTTTTTATTATTTATTTATCACAAGTAAAGGTCAGCAATTGTTATCTATCTTTTACATTTTTTTCCTGTTTCATTTCATTACTGCTATGTGAGTGACATAGGTGCTTATGTAGGTGGGTTCCAACTTATGGCGAAAATTGAGTTATGTCACACCGTAGGAACGGATTTCTGATGTAACCCAAGGACTATCTGTATAAAAAATTACTTAAAAATTGATAAAGGCGCCAAAGCCGGTTTGGCTCAGTGGTAGAGCATCGGACTGCAGACTGAAAGGTCCCAGGTTCGATTCCGGTCAAGGGCATGTACATTGGTTGCAGGCACATCCCCGGTAGGGGGTGTGCAAGAGGCAGCTGGTCAATGTTTCTCTCTCATCGACGTTTCTAGCTCTCTAGCTCTCTCCCTTCCTCTCTGTAAAAAATCAATAAAATATATATTTTTTTAAATTGATAAAGGCTGAGTGTGAGCTAGGACGAGCATTTAAAACTCCTGAGACTCAGATACAAGAGGAATTCACAACTATTTACAGGTTCTTCTCCACAGACCTCAACCAGATACTCAGGGGAAAGATTTGGGTTGGGGTAGAAGATCAACAGAACACCTCCTTTGGTGCAGTCCTGCAGAAGAGCAGCCTCAATGCAGAAAAAGCACAAGAAGCTCTGACTGGATCCTTCTCCCCTACTGAACAAATCTTAAGCTGTGTGGGAAGGGTAGTAAGTCATACCTCTCTATTGCAGTAAAGGTACAAGAAAAAACTTCTTGCCCTGGCCAGTGTGACTCAGTTGGTTAAGCATCATCTTGTGCACTGACAAGTCACTGTTTAATTCCTGGTCAGGGCACATGCCCAGGTTGTGGGTTTGGTCCCCAGTTGTGTTATATGTGGGAAGCAACCAACATATGCTTCTCTCATCAACATCTCAATCTCTCTCTCATGAATAAAAACATTAAAAAAAAAAAAACAACTAAAAATAAAACAAAAACTTCTTCCCCTATAAGATAGGGCACAAAACAGTCTTGAGCCCGTGATGCTATCTATCTATACCAGTGCTAACAGAAGACTTCTACCAAAGAGGGAAAAGCAAAAAAATTTATTCTGTCCAAGACCTGCCAGTTGCAAGGCAGAGAGGAAATGCCATAGACAGGATCACTGAGAAAGTCCCACAATGAGAAAAGGACATATAATGTTCCTGTCTCCTATATCCCTATACTAACAAATATACTAAAACACATTATACTCAACTTCTCAAAGCTAGAGATAAGGAGCAAATATTGGAGGCAGGAATCCTTTTCTATTACTCCCAAAGTAGCCTTGACTTTGCAAGAACTCAATTGTATTGTAGAACCTTGTATTATAATTACTTGGGCCTTTGTTCATCTTTTCTAATAGATTGTAAGGTCTTCAAAAGTAAAGAAAAGCTTAATTCTCTCTGCAGCTCTCAAATTATTTGGTCATAGAGGCACTTAAGTGTGTATTTTTAAAATTAAAGTACCGTATTTTTCAGACCATAAGACGCACTTTTTCCCCCCAGAAGTGGGGAGGAAAAGTCCCTGCGTCTTATGGTCCAAATATAGCCTACACATATACTTTTTTAAAAAAGTTTTTTTACTTGCCCGGCTCTGTGTGGTCTCTGTGTGCTTGCCCGGCTCTAAAATGGTTCTAAATGCTGCTGTTTACTTTACAGGGTTGATTACATGTGTTTATGACTGTGATGTTGGGTTTTAATGCACATAAAATATTTTAGGACACTATTTGTTTCAGAATCTTTTTCTCTTCATTTCCCTTCTCTAAAAACTGGTGCGTCTTATGGTCCGGAGCATCTTATGGTCCGAAAAATACAGTATATTTTAAATTATTAAATATGAAGCAAAATGACAAGATACCATCATCTCCTAGGTATATAAGCACAACTTTATTTTCCCAAACATGAAGCGCAGTCTTTTACTAGGTAGCTTAGAATCTTAAAGAATTGGATGTCAGCTGTAAGAACAGAATCCAAATATTTACAGAGAGAAAGGAAACAGAGACCAAGAAAATCAGTTCTTTACAGATTAAAAATAATAATAAAGGCCTTGAGAGGATGAGACATTTTTCATTGAGAATCCTCATTTGTAGAACTTAACTTGCCTTGCCCAAATGAAGACTTGGTTTACTTTTGTTTTAAACACATATCTTATTTCAGCAATGAGAAGGAGCTCAGCATTTTACTAGCTAAAATCAGAAAAATTTCAGGTTAAGTGACAGGAAAGTCTCTTCTGGAATGAGCTTACTTTATTTTTTAAAATATTTTTTAATTGATTTTTTTATAGAGAGGAAGGGAGAGGGACAGAGAGTTAGAAACATCGATGAGAGAGAGAGAGAGACATCAATCAGCTGTCTCCTGCACACCCCCTAATGGGTATGTGCCTGCAACCAAGGTACATGCCCTTGACCAGAATCGAACCTGGGACCCTTCAGTCTGCAGGCCAACACTCTATCCACTTAGCCAAACCAGTCAGGGCTAGAATAAGCTTACTTTAAACTATTAACAGTATTTCTGGGACACAAACACACACACACACACACACACACAAAACAGTGCTTAGCCCTGGGCAACTAAATCAAAATAAAACTTGCATTTTCTAATGCCCATTATATTACTACCTAGTTGTTTAATTTTTTAATAAATTAAAATATAGATGGCAGCTATATGAAATTCCTAGGACAATTCTACAAGGAACTGGTCTCAGGGGGGGGAAAAAATCCCTATCTGTTCCTTGTACAAGTGTATCAAGTAAAATCAAAGTGAAAGAAAAGATTTGTCTTTTCATTTCAAGTATCCCTATTTTTCTTCTTCTTTTTTTGTTGTTGTTATTAATCCTCATCCAAGACTATTTTTTCCATTGATTTTTAGAGAGAATGGAAGGTTGGAGGAGAGAGAGAGAGAGAGAAAGAGAGACAGACAGACAGACATTGATTGATTGCCTGTGTCCCAAGAATGAAGCCTACACCCAAGGTAAATGCCCTTAACCAATCAAACCCACGACCCTTCAGTCCACGAGCTGACGCTCTATCCACTGAGCAACTGGCTAGGTATGTTGATGCTACCTCACCCGCTGGTCAAATGTGCCTCTCTTTTCAAATATTTGTTTTTTAGAATAAGAACAAAAGATAAAAGTGAGCTCTAAAGAAACTTGGCAAACCTGAATAGCACAAACTGCCAAGTAAACTGTCAATGAAAAATTACCTGGGATGTTACTGACAGTATTATATATTAAGGGGTCATAATTTACTACTTTTAAATTCCAGGTGGGCAACAGAAGCATCCATTGGTTGCTTTCTACACATAACAAGTAATCTTGTTTTGGTCATGAATCATAAAGAAAATGCAACCAAATCCTGATACCCCCGGCAGTCTAGTACAGTGCTCACTGTTCTTCCCCTCTGCTAAGCTGCAGAAAGGAAGAGAAGGAAAAAAGGAAAAGGGCTTCTTTACAAGGAGAGAATAAAGCACTTACACTTCATAGGACTTTCTAGCCACAGATGCCAGGTGCTACCACTGAAATCCAGGCTTGGACTAAGCTCCACATTTCTGAAAGGACCATCTCAACCGAAGCCTGGGGCTCAGAGTCAGCAGGAGGAAGCTGCAGCTCCCACTAAACAGCACATTTCAAAGAGGCTGCAACAAGAGAACATTTTCCATTTAAGCATCTAATTCCAATCTTCCATTTCACAAAGCAGTAGCAGGACAGGCCTTTATATAATTCTCTTCCCCCAAAAGATATTTCCATGACTATGTGATGAATATGAAGCAGACTATGGCCAGTAATCCTTTCACTAACATACTCTAGTCTTTTATTATAGTTCACAGCAAATCCTGATAGATGCCCCTTTTTCTTTTAATGGTGCACTGTTGCTCAAAGACTTACTTCTACACCAACAGTTCTAAAACTGTCAAATCAATCAAAATTAAGCAGGCCCTCAACAATGCCAGCACACACCCAAATAGGAGCCCCTAACGATTCAATAGCTGCCAAGAATTAGAAGCGGATTTGGGCTGCTATTTAATACTACACAAAAACTCCTCAAATCAAGCAGAATAACTTAAAATACTTCACTAAGGACAGAAGAGCTCAGGCAAACAGAAAAAGAGGTTCTGAAAATACAAATATTTCAATAAGCTTAAAAAGTTAACATAAAAGTGCCAGGTTGTTGTACTTTTTAATGCATTTCAATTAGTAAATAATATATTTATTAAGTAAAGATTTTCAAAGATTTATAATGTACTAGAGGCCCAGTGCATGAAAATTCATGCACTGGAGGGGGGGCTCTCAGCCCGGCCTGGCCCCTCTCATAGACCGGGAGCCCTCAGGGGCAGGAGGCCACCTGGCGATCAGGGGAAGGCAATGCCCCATCACACCTCTGTTGCTGCCACTGCCTGCAGCGCAAGCCTCAGCTGGCCCTGGTTACCTGAGCTTCAGGTGGCCCTGGGCAGCAAGGCAGCTGCCATCGAGGCTTGCCTGTGCCTGCCACCCCAGCAGGGCTGAGAGGACTGGGTGTTGACATTTTGTGGCTATGGGTGTCGCCATCTTTGAGGGCATGGCAGTCAATTAGCATAATCCCTCCTTATTAGATAGTATGGGGGGAGAGAGAACTAGGTTAGAGCATAGAGTGAAAAGAACTCCTGAAAACAAAAAACAACTGGCCTCTTTTGCCTCATGCTTAAGACTTTCATAAAATCTCTCAAACAAGCCGCATCTAGCCTCAGTGCACCCTGTAACTCTTGCTAAGTGGCCCCAGGCCCGGCACTAAGTGGCAACCTTCCTTGGTTTGCAACTTGGTCTCTCCTGGGCACTTCCAAGTGCAGCATGAGTAGCAGCCATCTATAGATCACCACCTCAGGTGGCCTCAGGCAGGTTACAGGCAGTGGCTGACCTTCAGGGATGTCCCAGAGCCAGTGCACCCAGTGGACAGCTTCAGTTCCCAGTTTAGAATCCTACCACCTCCACAAACAACACACTCAAGGGGTGAACTCTGTGAGCACCAAAACCTCACTGAAGCAAGTTCTGCTCTGTAGGATCCACTCCTGCACAGTAGCTCCTCTACTGAAGTTGCAGATGGTCCTTGTAGCACATTGGCCTGGGAGTTAATCCCTCCCAGAGACACCAACAGCAATCAAAGCTCAACTACAACAAAACAGTGCATACAGCCCACATAGGGGTGCACCTGGAACACCCAACTCAGGTGACTGGGGAGGCTGCGCCACTGGGCCCTATAGAACACCCACTGTACAGGCCACTCTACCAAGTCCAGGAGAAACAGCAGCTCTATCTAATACATAGACAAACATAGGGAAGCAGCCAACATGCAGGCACAAGAAACAGGTCCCAAATGAAAGAACAGGAGAAATCTCCAAAAAGAAAAACTAAATGAAATTGAAGTGAGCAAAACAATTCTTATAAGGTTGCTGAAGGAACTTACTGAGAACTTCAACAGTATGAAAAAAGACTTAGGAATCATAAAAAAGAAACAGGCAGAAATGAAGGATACACTAACTAAAATGAAGGATAATTTGCAGTGAATTAGTAGTAGAGAATGCTGAGAATCAAATCAGCAATTTAGAATATGAGAAAGCAAAAACACCCAATCAGAAGAGCAAAAATATGAAGATAGTGTAAATTCAAGCGTATCAAACATTGATATTCAAACATTCACATCATGAGAAGAGATAGCAAGAAATTGAAAGCCTATTTGAAAAAGTGACAGAAAACTTCTCTGACCTGGTAAAGGAACTAGACATACAAGTCCAGGAAATGCAGAGTCCCAAACAAAAGGAACCCAAAGAGACCTAAACCAGACATATCATAATTGAAATGCAAAAGGTTAAAGGCAAAAAGAGAATCTTAAAAGCAGCAAGAGAAAAGCAGTTAGTTAACTACAAAGGAATTCCCATAATAATGTCATCTCATTTTTCAACTGAATTCTGCCGGCCCTAAGGGAGTGGCAAGAAATATTCAAAGTGAAAAAAAGCAATGACCTACTACCATGATTACTCCTCCAGCAAAACTATCATGTAGAATTGAAGGACATATAAAGTTTCCCAGACAAGACAAAGCTGAAAGAGTCCATCACCATCAAATCAGTATTACAGAAAATATGAGGGTCTTCTTTAAGAAGGAAATAAAGATCAAATACATGAATAAAATGGCAATAGGTATCTATCAAAAATTGAATGTAAAAATCAAAATAAACAAGCAAAACAGAAACAGACTCACAGATGAAAAGAATATTTTGACAATTGCCAGATAGGAGAGGAGATAGTTAAAAAAGATGAAGGGATTAACCATTTGTACACCATAAGCATCTATAGACATAAATGATGGACCTTTTTAAATTAAATTCAAAATATCATGGATGAGGGAGAAATACTGATCAGCTGCCTCCTGCACACCCTCTACTGGGGATGTGCCTGTAACCAAGGTGCATGCCATTGACCAGAATCGAACCTGAGACCCTTCAGTCCACAGGCCAACACTCTATCCACTGAGCCAAACTGGTTAGGGCAGCCAGTAATATTCTAATAACTATGTATGGTGTCAGATGGGTACAAGACTTATCAGGATGATCACTTAATAAATTATGTAATGTCTAATAACTGGGGTGTACACCTGAAACTAATATAATAGTGTATGTCAACTGTAACTGAAAAATAAAAAAATGACTTAAAATTTTTTAAACTATCAGTAAAACAATGTTTTAGACATATGCCCTGTAACAATGTGGTATAGATCTAGAAAATAAAAATTTCCCAAATCAAGAAAAAAAGTCATTTTCATAAGACAGGTAAAGAAAGAACAAGTCTAATTTACCTAAAACAGAGAAAGTGATTTTTAAAGTCAGTCAATTATCTTAGTTTTTGTATTTAATCCTTTGAGAATTTTACAACTTGCTAGGTCTGTCACAAGTTACTCTTGTGCTTTTCTTGGACAACAGAGAGAAAAAATAGCTTGAAGAAATATTAAGAAAAATTTAAGTTACAGGGCTCAAGATAGCCATCACTACATAAAAATTGTATTTTTTATAACTTGTTTTTGCAAGACAATCTGAAATACAGAAAACTATGATGAAATGAAACTTAGCTAACAGTTTTACCACTGAGTAAACAACCCCCACCTCCCAGAGCAGAGTATAAACAAATATAATCAGTAAGCCACTAGCAAGCTTCAAGACCCATAGAATATCCTTGTGTATACATAAATAACTTTTCTAGAAAAAAAAAAGAAAAAAAAAAAAAAAAAAAAAAAAAAAAAAAAAAAAAGCTCATTTATAGAGACAAAGTTAGCCATCCTCATAATTGGAAAATTAAAAGGGAGATATTATTTCCCTTATGTGAGAGAAGAGATTCCTGGCCAGAAAAAATTCTTTAAAACAATATAAGCTATTGAAATTCCAGTAGAAATACTCAAAACACTTTTCAAGTTAACTTTGGAAGACATAGTGCCCATACACATTGTTCTATTTTGAGTTCAAAGAAAGGAATCAAGACCAAATGACTGTACTGCATACTGATGAAAACCCAGTGTGTTTGGGACAAGCATTTTCTTTTTCTTTTCTTTTTAAATTATTATTATTATTTTTAAAAATATATTTTATTGATTTTCTACAGAGAGGAAGAGAGAGGGATAGAGAGTTACAAACATCAATGAGAGAGAATCATCGATCAGCTGCCTCTTGCACACCCCCTACTGGAGATGTGCCCGCAACCAAGGTACATGCCCTCGACCAGAATCAAACCCGGGACCCCCAGTCTGCAGGCCGACGCTCCATCCACTGAGCCAAACCGGTTTCGGCTTCTTTTTCTTTTTCAAATTTAATAAATCTTTATTGCTCAGATTATTACAATTGTTTCTCCTTTTCTCTCCCATAGCTCCCTTCCACCCAGTTCCCACCCCACCCTCTGCCCTTTACCTCCCACCCCCGCATTGTCCTCATCCATAGGTGTATGATTTTAATCCAGTCTCTTCCTGCACCACTCCACACCCCTTTCCCCTGATAATTATCAATCCACTCCCTTTCTTTGCCCCTGACTCTATTATTTTCACCAGTTTATTGTCCCTCAGATTTTACATTCACTTGATTTTTAGATTCACTTGTTGATATATATGTATTTGTTGATCATAATTTTTATCTTTTTTCTTCTTTTTCCTCTTCTTAAATACCCTTCAGCATTTCATATAACACTGGTTTGGTGGTAATGAACAGATAAGAAAAAGCTAAAGAGCTTCCAAGTATGCAAATAAACCTAACCAAGATGGCTTCAGCCAAAGAGAGCAGGAGGGAGGTGTTTCTCCAGCAACGGAGGAAGCCAAGCTTTATGTGCCCTTCCATTCTGAATGATAACTTTGCTGGGTAGAGTAATCGTGGTTGTAGGTTCTCGCTATTCATCACTTTAAATATTTCTTGCCACTCCCTTCTGGCCTGCATAGTTTCTGTTGAGAAATCAGCTGATAGTACAATAGTATGGGTGCTCCCTTATAGACAACTGTTTTTCTCTTGCTGCTTGTAAGATTCTCTCTTTGTCTTTTGCCCTTGGCATTTTAAGTATGATGTGTCTTGGTGTGGTCTTCTTCGATTCCTTTTGTTTGGGGTTCTGTGCACTTCCTGGACTTATAAATCTAT